TGAAGAAGAGAATAGGAAGGGGGAACCAAAAATGACTAGAAACCCTAATCCAAGTGTTAGCCACGTTTTTTGGAGCCCTATGGGTCTTTATATACTTATGTGGGCTGCTAGGGTTTCAGTCTAAACCCTAATGGACAGCTTAAACTCTAAGCAGCCCATGGAACCTTCTAGAATAAGGCCATGGACGAAAATATGATGGACTCCCATCACAATTTTGTTCACCCCTTGTTCCTTTAGCATTCGTTATCCCAATAACTCAATTATCCAATAATTGCAGTCCAGTCCCTTATATTTAATTAATCTCTTTTAGCCACAAAATTAATTATCAATTAATTCTTAACTAATATTAATTAAACTATATGATTTCTCCTTTAATATATTATTCTCATAATATATTAATAAATCATAATTAAACCTTTCTCTCCTTAATTCATCCTACACGTTGCTATGGTGAAGGCAACCCAAAAGGACCATGCTCATAATCGGGTCAAGTACATACCAAAATAGCTATGGACTTAGACACTAATCCAACAGTCTCCCACTGGGATAAGTCTAACAACTATTTTGCATAAGTTCATAACCTAATCAGCAATCGTAGCTTTCAAAATCCGTTTCCAACTCTGATCCTATCATATACATGTATCCTTTAGATAAAGGATCATATATTCCTCCATTCTCAAGATATCGTATAGACACAAGACATCAATTTCGATCATTCTCTCGATACTGTTTACTGACATCCGATTTATGACGACTGACAACAGACTACAATTGAACACATCAACTTAGTCCTGACTTGGCCAAAGTCCTTAGGTGTCATCACTAAATCATCAAGGGGCCCACAGATATCGCTTTTATCCCACTTTGGGTAAAAGGAATAAAAAAACTTCAACTCAAATTCTCGCTTACTCTTACTCATCAAATCAAACACAACAATATGTTTTATAACACCAAGTTACTGGTGCGTTTACACATTATCAATGTGCAATCGAATTGTAATTACAACTCACACGTCTCAGTTTCAAGAATATACAATGTTATCGTCTCACAATTACTCATGATAAAAAAAACATAAAGTGATTCAAGTGAGCGTGGGTTTAATCCAATACTCTAATCTTATCAAAATACTCATGAACTCTGCAGCAAACTTGTGTTATGTCTAAACACTCTAGACAATCTACAGATAGATTCATGACAATCTTCCTTCATACATACTCCCAACGTATGATCGACTGTGGGTGTTTGAATAACCTATTTATTCTGGAAGTCAAAACATGCAAAATTTAAACACAATAATAATACTTAATCCTATATGGACCAAAAACTTTTGAGTGTAAATAAAACACTTTTATTTAACCACCGTATTGATTACTTATTATTCATTGTAACTGTTTCAGAAAATCAATTTATTACTTGAATTACAACAATAGTTGTCCCATGCTCCGAGCATGCACGCTATGTTTCCTATGGTCCATTCTTTGTGAAATAGATCAATTGAAATTTTTTCCAATGATGCTCATTTCACAATTCCTAATCCTCAACGATAGTGTAAGAATACAAGGTTCTTGCCACTACTAGAATATGTTAGATTCTAACATTTTATGCAATGATCCTTTCGTAAAGTCATAGCACGAAAGTCACCATGACTTAGCAAATGAAAATACAAGGTTCTCTATCAGAAATTGTTACAAAACAATTCTATAGATGTGATGTCTCTCACTCAAAGTACATTCCTTTCAACATCCTTTTTGCATAAAATTTTCTAATCTAGACATAAAATTCTTAATATCCAACTCCCAATACGGAAACATTTCCATATTTGTCATATGACAACTCATTCTAAATAGAATCCTATCTATTCATATTAATGTCGATATGATCCATCCAGTATTATACTTACAACTACTCACAAGCGACCAATCCTCAACGAACTTTGGATCATCCTTTGATATTTGTTTAATTATTTTAGTCAAAACCGATTCTAGTCCCTTTTCCCTCTTAATGCACTAGGCATTTGGAAAATTTTAGAATGGTCAAATATTACAGCATACGCAATCGATCCTATACTCGAAACGTATGGAACACGATGCTTAATGTCTTACATAAAAACGTGATACTTTACCCGTCTTTTACCATAATATTTTATTAGTCATGTTCTCACAATTCGAACTATGAAGAGGGATGCTATAATCATAATCAAATTTAAGAACGTGCTATCTATCCTTAACTAAATTTTATCAACATTTCTCGATCTAAGTTTTATATTTTTGAAACAAAGTATAATATTCTCTCCCTTAATTATAGCAAAACAACTTTTCAACCATTGCAACTTTGCAAATTGAATCTTTGTTTATCTATAATTAATAATGCTAACTTGCAATACTTAAAATAATAATCATGCTCCCACTAACACAATGATTATTTCCTTATTAGCATAACACTTATGCTCCCACTAGCTTTGACATGTATTCAGAAAACAATTGAACTTCTAGAAGACAATGCTTAGTGAATTCCTTAAGTTCATATTTCTAATACCTAATGCTTTGATAAGCCTTTATCTAAGCTTCTTAAACTCATACACCTTTGTCTTAGAAAGCTCACATGTGTGTCTAAACAAATTCAGAACTTATGTTACTAAGTCCCAAATGTTCAGACTAATTGCCAAATCTCACAATTCGAACTATAAAGAGGGATATCTTAATCATAATCGAATTTGAGAATACAATTTCCACAACTTCTATCTCCTTAAACTCTCTCTTAGTGAAAGCATTTCCTCACAATCATTTTCTTGAAGGAGGGAAACCTTATGTTACTTAGATTTTATAGTGTATGTGTTCCTATCCATATGAATTTTGCGACAAATTCAAGCTCATATGGACTGAACCTGTTCAATTTTGATTCCTTGCCTCATGGTAGCATGAATGCCTACCATGTCTTCCTACATATCAATGTACTTTCCATTGATCAAGGTGAATTATCTTTATGCCTTCAAATGAGAACTCATAGAACTCACATGCATAATTAACTCAACTGGAATGGCACAGAATTAAGAGTATGATAGGTTATAAACCTCAAGTCACATGCTAGTGATGATCAACTAGGTTTACTCTTGATTTGTTCCTGAACCTTTTCAAGACCATTAACACTCCCACTGACTCCTTGACATATAAGATTCTCTTTTCAAGAAACATTCATTGAGAGAACAAATATTCAAGAGTTAGTGTAGCTTCTTATCAAATTTAACACTTCACTCAATTGGTCTTAGTTGATCTTTGTCTTATCCAAGACATCACAACTTACCAATTTCAAATGTGCAAAAATAAGAAAATTTTTCCAAATTCCACATTTGATGAGTGTTATAAACCTTTTTAAGACTTGTCACTCAAGTCACAATCTTATAGTATTACTCTAAGACTCGATAATGGAACGAAGTATGATTGACTTCTTGATTTTAACCATTTCCACAATTCTCGATTCCTTTTCTTAGACATACAAATGCACTAAGACTCACTTAGAGGATCAATTGAGATATGCTTCTTAATCATTAAGACTTATCATAAAACACAATAAAAGGTATTCTCCCTTCTTCTTAGAATAGAGAAACTTTTATCTTTCTACATACAGGATTCTTCTTATTCGTTCTGCTATTCATTGAAACTCTTCTAATCAACTCAGAATTACACTTATTCTTATAAGTATAATCATATTTACTAAACTTTAGTAAATCATGACGAATATCTTTATCACTCTTGTGGTGAACTTGATCAACGCACAACCTAGTGTACTTTATCTCCTAATCCTTCACTTCACACTTTGTCAAAGAATTAGTCTAATTTCCAAATATGAAAGTTTGTTCATTCATCATACAATACAGGTTGCATGATTCTAAGTTTCTATCCAATTGAAACTTGGGCGATGAGAATCTTTCCTTATTTGGTAAATTTTCAACATTTCCACAAATATCAAAACAAGAATCATATCCAACTCAACATTGCTAAAATACAAACATCCATTTTCACACATGCCATTGCAAGGATAAATAAATAAGATAAAACTCAAAATTTATTTTATTGCGAAAAAACTTGTCCTTACAATGCAAATCAACTGAAAAATATGTTGTTACACACTACTAGAAAAACAGCCTTTTACGACGCTCATTGCACGTCGTAAAAGGCTCAGACGACGGGCAAATGCGCATCAAGGAAGGCCCTGTCATAAAGAGAGACGACGCGCTTTTGCGCGTCGTCTATAGACGACGCGCATTTACGACGCGCGTATACGACACGCAATGCGTATCAAGGAAGGCCCTGTCATAAAGGAAGACGACACGCATTCGCGTGTCGTAACCTTACCACGCGCGTGTTAATGACACACAATGCGTATCTAGAAAGCCCCTGTCAAGAAAGGCCATTTCATAAATGAAGATGACACACATTTTTGCGTATCATAATTTTAAATGTTTAAAAAAATATATTTTTTATAGATTTACTAATTTTCAAATTAAATAATACATTAAAAATCTCATAATACAAAATAAAATACCATAAATAACAAAGATAATTCATTTCACTAATATGTCAAATACAAATAATTATTCCAAAGGTGAGTAAATGTTATAAAAAATGAACTCATTTATATACAATTGCATCATCTAGCTTACTATGTGCCAACAACTCTCTGTGCGTTTACTTTTTCTTGAGTCTCGTTTCCTCCAAAGCTTTTAGCCATGCCAAAATATGATATCTTGAGTCTCGTATGAATAGATCGTGCGCAATAGGTCTAGCTTGTATCATTCCAAATAATTCCAATGCTAGTCTCTATACAAGCCAATAATTTGAGAACTTAATTTTACCATTATTATATAATTAATCAAATAAGAAAACAATAAATACCTTCTGCCATATATGAAAGAGAACAAGATAAACAAGATCAGTATCGCCACTTTTAGTTGCCTTAGTCGGGGCTGTATCTTCTTCCCCAATGCCTAGTAACAAAGGAACCTAGAAAGGTGCTAATTTCCTCCTGCTAGTCTGATCTGCATGAGGAGCAACTGCAGCATAAGAAATGCTTCTGCACAATTTTAACTGAAAAATCCCAAAAAGTTAGCCATTGACATTTTTTAGTGTAAACAGGTTACAACAACAAAGATATCATGTAATCTAACACAACATTGATCTACATGCATTTACACACTAAAACATTATTCTAACCTCTATTGTGGTTTTGTTTTGTATTGTAAGATGGATATGCCACCCCAAGACCTGCAAATTTGAATCATGCAACCTTTAGATTCATATAAACATGATGAGTTAACACTATTACAAAAAATTAGCATTTATTGGTAAGAAAAATTGGACACACCATAAGATAATTTCCATACAAACACTTTAAATGATGAGTTAACACTATTATAAAAAAAATTAGCATTTATTGGTAATACAGAAAAAAAATTAACATACCGGGGGTATTTTAGTCAATACCTTGGTTTAGCCTTGATGCATAAGATAGAAGGGATGAAATATGCCTAAAGTTAATAGACAAAACCTATACTAATAGAATAATCAGTCCAAAAATATACACAAACACTTGCACACACTTACACATACTCACATATCTTTAAATAGGATCTAATTATGACCTTATATCTCTATTTATTTTTATTTTTCTGGGATAAAATATTAGTTTTCTAATCGTTAGCTAGTTTTCTTTTCGCTAATTACCACAGGTGCTTACTGAAATTCTTCAAATTTGTTTTTATTTTTCAGGGCTATAATATTAGTTTTCTTATCACTAGTTTTCTTATATATATATATATATATATATATATATATATATATATATATATATATATATATATATATATTACCTCCAATGGCTTTAGTAGCATCCTTAAGGCACCCAGAAAAGTATTGTTGTAGAACACTTTAACTACAGGGTGATTGACTCGGTTGACTACACGATATATGAAAACTGCTAATGCATCAAGAGAAAATGGATTTGATTCACTTCCTACAAAAAATTTAAATAACAACCAATCAAATTTATATCCATTTATAAAAAAATAATAAACAATAAATAATAAAATAAGAACGTTCGGAATCTGGAACAATTGGTACAGCAGATGAAGGAAAGAAGAGAAAAAGTTACCTGGCTCCATACTTCTTCATTAGGGACATATTGTTCAAGAAAAGGCTCAGCTTCACTCAAGTAGATTGATGATGACAACTGTTTGTTCCCGTATTTCCTTCTTATGTACACTGCCCTAAAAATTTATATAATTTATAAATTCTTTTCTTATTAAAAAAATACTAAATCCTTCTTCCTTCATTACCATTCATCCAACATCTTACTGAGTTGTCTTTGCTTTCCTAGTGATGTATTCCATATCTTCATTTGCCTACATCATGCAATTTGGTCTGATTATGACACAATGATATCAAAATGACATAAATGCCCTTATGTGTGAAGGTTACCTGAGGTAGTAGGTTTTATAGGCAATTGGACCTTCTTTGAAAAGAATCGACAACCCTTTGCGAATCAAGAAAGTTCGCAGCTGTGTCATAAGTCATAACTGAATTATGTCAGAAGGGTATAAAAGTAATTTCGACCACATAACTAGGGGATAATATATATAATACCTTATATGTAAGAAAATTTCAGCTTGATCATTAGATTTGCATCATCATCTGCTAAACTGTTTTTTGTAGATGTTTCATTGCCATCTTTGTAATTTTTTCCAATGTCGGGGGTATTTTTGGAACTCTCTGCGGATTTCTCTTTACTTGCCTTGAACAGATTAATTTCAACTAAAAAAACCTCGATATAGTGGCCATAAATCTGGCTTGAATCTCATCTCTTTTTGGTATCTCCTGAAGGTTGAATCACTATGCACATGGATCACCATTTTATAATGAAGATTATCACTAGATATCGAATTAATTTTGTGGAAATTATAGTAACACTTGAAAGCAGCAGGAAAACGTTTTTCTTTCATCAATCTGACCATTTCCTGAATAAAAAAAATATATCATGCAATTAAAATACTGTTTCTGTGTTATTTATACTGAAATTTGATAAAAGAGTTTGGATTACCTTTAATTTAAAGGTAGTATGATCAGAAGGATTTGTTTGTAGAAATTTGGAAACAACTGATTTATCAGCACTTCTTGGAGGTATATCAGCAGCTTCAAATCCAAACCAATCCACATAATTTGGACAAAAAGATTTCCCAACATTTTGAAGAAGTGCCTTTATTTCCAAACCAATCCACATAATAGGGTCTTCTTCTATGATGGCATTGGGAGTGGCTGGTAACCCAAGGGATCTTCTTGATCTCTCTAGTGGCAACCCAAGGGTTCTGTCCCATATTAGCTGTCAAAGTCAAAAAGAATACCATTAAATCTGAACAAACATGAGTTATACCAAATTTACTGATGAAGGGATGAAGTTATACCAAATTTGTTTCTTCAAATGTACAGTGTGTGGGTTATAACTGTGCAGGTTCTTCAGGGAAAGTCTCAAGGAAGCTTTCAAGAAGCTCATCAGCATTATCAATTCTTTCATCACCTTCACCAATTATCCAAATCATCAATGCCTATTAAAAAAAACAATTATTAGTAAATTTCTACATAAAGCAAAAGAGAGAGAGAGAGAGAGAGAGAGAGAGAGAGAGAGAGATTGTAGAATTTAAAACAATTATTTTACTACAGACACAATAAATGATCTAATTAACTGCTCTTGATTGTGATGCCAAAACCAAATTGAGAAGGCAGAAATACAAAAACTAACTATCAATTAAATCTTACTCCACCCCACATGAATTGATCATCAAAATCTGGAATCTGATATACGAGTTCTTTAAAAGATGTTATTATCGTGTCTTAATTTTCGGCCCCTAAAAACATAGACAGGGCATTATGCCACACCAAGCTATGCAATCAAAACTGTATTGAAGATGCTACCAGAAGAAGAACCTGAAATCGTATGCCAATAATATCTACTGAAAACTTCTCCCTACCTACGGACCAATAACCCTATGGATCTGGCACAGTAGAGCCTTAATTCAGATTCAGATCAAAATCAAATTATCATCCAAGGTAAGAAATTGAACAAGGATAACAGTATTTGTGATAACTTAATCGACCTATCAACCAATAACCTGATGCATCTGCCATAACCATGATCGAAGATAATAACATACAGGGAGAAGCTGGAATTATCGTCATGACCCACTTGGATAATAATATATAATCTTTAATTTCTTCCAGATATAAACTAATAACCCTATCGATCTGCCACAGCAAGTGGATTCGTAGATAAATTCTTAATTATAACCTGCATCTCCTCATAGAAGAGACCATAAAAAGAACCTGATAACGCTTAGAACAACATAAGAGAGGAAGAACCTGGAAACGCCTGATCATAAAGATCTGATCTTTGAGATTGAAACTATCGACAGATCAAATCTAAATTACAGAGCGTATATGAACCTGCAAACCTTTGTGGATTAAGATTTTCCATGACGACTTTATAATCATTAACCATCGATCAAAAAAACAAATCCTCCAAATCAAAATATCAAAATATAGAATATAACTAAAGATTTGTGAAGGGATTACGACCCGTTTTAGATAAACATCAGCCATAAAATAATCTTCCTGTTGGTCGAGCATTCACAGCAAGGGGACCTCTGCGAGGTGGCCCTGTTGGTCTTCCACCACCAAATGATCTTCCTTGACCTCGACCACCACCACCACCACGAGCCCTACCTCTCCCTCTATCTCTAATCTTCTTCAAACAGATTTTGGTGCGAGACTGGATCAGCTGCTGATGCAATCGTATACGAATCGACAAAATCAAGCAATTGAAAGAACTGTTATAGGATCGTTGGTGATCTAGGGTTCGAGCATGAGAAAGAAATAGGGTTCGAGCATGAGAAAGAACTGTTATAGAGATGTAGCAAGGTACGAGGTGAGATCTAGGGTTCGAGCATGAGAAAGAACTGTTATATAATCGCTGGTGATTGGATTTCATTGGAGGGTGGAGATGCAGAAGAGAGAACACGCAGTAGAGAAAGGCGGGGCAAGTTCTTCACAAAAAGCCCTAGCTCCGATTGGATTCCGGCATCGACGAGGCCTTTGACGCTGGTTTTTGTTTGGTCGAAATCTTTGAGCTCTGATTGTCGATCGTAGCTTGAGCCCGCTCAAGCAATGGTGGCAGCCATTTTTGTGAAGATGATCGTGTTATATATGCGAAGGTATTCTCTAGAAAGGTGAGTGAGCATCCTTGCAATTGTGGCCCTATGAACGTAAAGTGTTTGATTTCTTGTGAGAAATGAAGCGATAGAGATCGATCTATGGAGGATGTGGGTCGTTCTTTGAGGGATGAAAAAACCCTAGTTTCTTAGACTTTTTGAGTACGGGGTTTTCTAAATTTTAGATTCCCGCGAGGTATTAAGGATGGAACACGATGTTTGATGAGATCGATAAGGAGGTCAGGAGTGGCGGGGAAGCGGATCAGAGAGGAGAGAGAAGGAGGGAGCGAGAGGAGAGAAGATGAAAGATAGAAAGAAGGTAGAGACGACTTTTCAAAATTTTGGGGATTTCGTTTCCCACCTCTACTAAACGCGCCTTTTCATTAAAATTATAAAGCGACAAATATAGAGGACGTACCTTTAAAATAAAGCGCCCTCCGTGTTTTTAATTTCTTTTCGTGAGACACTAATTTAAGGGCACTCAGTAATGCGCGACCTAAATTCTTAAATTTTTTGAAGAGATGACTCTTTTTTAATGTCGCTCTCTAATGCGTAACATAAATCAAAGAGCGTCGTTTTTTGCGCGTCGTAAAAGGCTGTTTTTCTAGTAGTGACACATTCCTAAGCAATTTATTCCAACTCTAAAGTAGCAGCTCAAAAATCTGATCTTTGAATCTATGCGATTGAAATCCATTTCTTCATGATCAGATTCAGCACACTTCTTTCTTAAGCTTCCTTTCTTTTCTTCGATCCTGCAAAACATCATAATGTAATCTTATCACATCATGTATTAAGAATCTAGAATAGGAACTTAAAAGGAGCTACATAGTGGCTTTTACCTAAAGTAGATCAATATGTCACGACTCTCCCATCTTCTATTTCTCTCAAATAATTTGGGCAGCTTCGTCTCCTATGCCCCTTCTCTTGGCAATAAAAGTAAATAGACTCTTTTGGCACATTACATGTGACAATCTCATACTTAGCCCTTTCTAGACTTCCAACGTTGCCAGTGTCCATTGAATCATGGGAGTTTGATTCACCAGAAAAATTTGCTTGACCAGCATGCCAAATCATTGTTGATTTAGCAGCTATAAGCAAAGAGGTGAGACCAATTAAGGTCACGTCGTGTTCCATCATATAGTACTCTCTTACGAACTCACTATATGATTCAAGAAGTGACTGAAGAACCCAGTAAACAGCCAACTCACCTGAAATCTCAACACCCAATATCCTTAACCTATCAATGTGTGACTTCATCTATAAGACGTGTGCACTCAAAGGTTTCCCATCTTCGTGTTTACTTGCCAAAAGGGCTTGAGTGAGCTTGAACATTTCAAGCCGTCGAACTTGTGAAGCATGATCTCTTGTTCCTTGATCATATCGTGGAATATCATCTTCAAAGAATTCAGGAAGACCATGATTGTCAGAACTAGACATCTACAAAACAGGAGAAAATTCAAATTAAATTGATTAAGCCCTGAATAAAACACCCAAATGAGTTATTAAGGCTAGGATCCAACACAATACTCTACAACTTAGAAGAGGGATGACGTAATCTAGTTGCAGAATATTTGAAGGTAGGTAAATGATGATTTATCAATTTCCACCATCAAAAACAAAAATGAAGTTTAAGTTTTAAATGAATTGAAACTCCTAGATCTTTTAAGATTCATTGAACTTTTGAATGGAATGTTAAGTCTCGATTATGCCCTTCAAGTTTGTGACTGGGATGCCAAGGATCACAAACAAGATGTGAATAACCATGCGAATCAACATGGTGCACTCAGTGCTACTCTTACCTAATCAATATGTCAGTTAACCACACACACTCCATTGATCTATGATAAGCATCGAGCCACCCTTCACTACTAATGTCAACCCCAAATTAGTGTGCCGGTTAACCACACACGCTCCACTAACGTTTGAGAAGGGTATGAAGTGTAATTCCATGGATTAGCATACAATTTCACATTTTGCCTAAAGTAACTATGATTTGAGAATTAGTAAAAGCATTTAGTTACTTTTTACTTCATTATACTTATAATGGAAGGTTTCGTCCTATCCTACCCGTTTGGATAACGACCCTCCACTAGTCAAGAGTGCGGTGGGTAAGAGTGGATACCCATTCAATCGCCATTTTATAGGCAATTTTCTTAAACACCCCTTATATACCAGCTTCGTGAATGAGGCCTATTAACAGTAAGACTGACTGTTTGCTCATACATGTATATAATATTAGACTTTTAATGTTATATATAGTATATGGTGTATTTTACACTTTTAAAATACTAGGTGATCTAATTTAGTAAATTATACTTTTAATTTAATTAAATGTAAACAAAAACTTTATGGGTTTATTAAATCTCTTTTATTTATAAACCTTTATTAATTTAATAAAACCATAATGGTGTTATTTGAACTTTTCAAATTACTTGGGTTTTAGAATTTAAAATTTCGAATTAAGACACTTAACTAATTTTAAAATCCAAAACTTGAGGGCAAGTTTTGAAACTTTTTCAAACTTAGGATTTAGAATTTAAATATTTCAATATTAACCTTTTAATCAAAATTTAAATTCCAAAACTCGAGGACAAGTTTTGAAACTTTTCAAAACATTAGGGTTTAACTATTTAAATTTCAAAACAAAAATTTTAAGTTCAAATTTAAACTATAAAACCTAAAGGGTGTAAATTGAAACTTCTTCAAAATTACGAGGTCAAATATGTAACAACCCGATATTTCGAATCAATGTAATGACCTAAAAAGTCAAGAATTGTAACCTCTTTTGAGATAATGAAATTATTGTCAAAAATAAAATGTTCGAAAGTCATCTACTGGATTTCATAAATGATAGATATCATGTAAAGGGTTTCAGAAATATAAAGAACACTGAAAACCGAGTTATAACGAATAAGCTATGACCAACCTAATATACACAACAAAAACCGTCAATTCGGTTAAACGTAAAATGAGAAATTTCAATAAAATACTTTTTAGCCCTAGGTATCAAAATGAAAGTCGTAGATTATACTAAACTGTGAGCATGTATAAAAAGAACATCAAAATGCAACTTTGTATGAGGAAGTTATGATTTTTCGAAGTTTCAGTATAGCGGTAGACGGCTAAAAACTCGAAATAGAGATCGAGCGATTTCTAGCTGAAACAACCTAAATGAGAATCGAAGATCTCAACAATAGTAGAAAAACGGTAAAAAGTCTATCGAAAACAGACATCGGATGAAAAAGTTACAGATTTTTAACGGACTTTTCGTGTCTCGGCCTGTTAAAAATAATAGAATTAAAATAAATTCAAAATTAGCCGACAGAGACTAAATGAAAGTTGTAGAATACATTCTCACCTACATGTGGATATAAAGAACGCGAAAAACAGAGCTCGTACATAAAAGTTACGTAATTTTGAACTTGGAAAAATCAGATTACGCCCAGCGTAATGTGTTACGCCCCGCGTACCAGAGGATAGGAGCCTCGTCCCATCGGCCAAAAGGCTCTCCCATCGGACAGAAGCCCTCCCATCCGAAGTTCGTAAGCAATGACGTCCACTATGCCCCACATGACCTCGTACGCCCAGCGTACCGAGGCGGTTCAGCCCCCCTATAAAAGGGATGCGAAGGTTCCGATCATAATTGCTCATTTTCTCTCCTTCTCTTGCGTTTTTACTCCGTTTTGCGTGCAAGAAATATCCCGAAGCCCCGTTTTACATACCCAAGTCCTGAAGGAAGTTTTACGCCCCCGAGATTCCCAAGAATCCCGAGAAATCCACCTTCTCCTGTCAAAGTTCTGCTTGGTTTTCATCTCACTTTCTTCAATCTATCAAGTGATTTCATACCCCTATAACTACGTTTTCAAATGCATTATAAACGCTTTTATACACTTTTAAGGAGGGGGAAATACAAGTAAACTGACGATTATCCTCGTGTGAATCACATAAATCTTTTACTATACTTTTTGTTATAATCAATCATATGTGATTTATAACTATCATACGAAAACATTCTCATGCAACATATCACAATAACACTTTGTCCATTTTGAAATGAAACATGTTGGTGTTTAAATATCAAACACTTTATTTATATTTTGAGTATAAATGTTCAATAATGATATACCTGACATACAAAGTCGACGCTACTCTAGGGTTTACCATACAAACGAAACATACCTTTGGAAAAACTATAATAGGTATAGTTTACTAGATATTCATGAGATTTTACATACTATAAGTACTATATCAAGTAAATACTTTCATA